TCGGCTGCGGGGCGGGTTGCGGCGGGAAGGGTGCTCTGCGCACGCGCGCGGGTCATCGCCGGCAGCTCCGCGCATGCGTCGCTCCTGCAGGGCGGGAAGGATGCGTTTGGGGCCGTTAAACGGTTTCTGGCGGGGACCCCCGGGAAGAGGCGCGTTGCGGGAGTCGGGTGCCTTATTCAGGCCCTGCAGCCCTGAGTGCTGCCTATAGGCAAAGCAGTTCCCGCATGTGGTAGCAAAGTCATAAATTATAAGTTAAATAGGTGCAAAATACAGAAAAACCATAAAACGAGTGTCTGCAATCGCACAGCTTTAAGCCATGCAGGTGTGAGTCTGTGCTAACTGCTTCTCCCACAGAGTCGAGACCAAACTTGAAGGGTGTCCTAAGGCCGTGCCAGGGCCTTGCATGGCACGTGGTCGGACCCTGCCCCAGACAAGCACTAGGTTGTTACATGAGTAGAGCTGCGTTTTAATACAAGCTCTCACTTACGGTAAAGCACTAAGAGTTTGGCTGTTCTGGGAGGGACTTGGGGATGTGTCTAAAATCTGTAAGAAAAGCAACTGCTTTAAACTGCACTCTGAAAAAAAATGGCTTGTTTTTCTAAGTTGTATTCAGGACTCTCTTAAATGCAGTCCTTTTTTTGGAAACTGATGCTCCCAAAATCTGTAACTTTATTTTCTTTATGTAATATGACTTTTTATTTTTTTTGTAGTCATTTGTCTCTGGGAGACTTTTAAGAGAAACATTACATAGGAGGTTGATAATAACACACTGGGGCTGGTTATAGTATAGCATTTCCGTAACCTTTTCCCTTTTAAAGTTTTAAGTTAATGTTTCTCCTAGAAATTCAAAACTGGTTTGTTTGTAGGTACTCTTCTAGTAGTACAGCTGTAGAGAAGACTGTGGAAAACCCAGAAGGTTTGTATTTTAATTACTAGCTTCTTTTGTGTTTATTTTTGTATCTCCACACAACCAGGGAAGCTTTTATAATTTTAGAAGCCTTGAGTTGTTTAAAACTTACTTTTAAGTTTTTACAGCTTCAAAGAGCAACTGGAAAAACTTGATAGTGACAACCTCTTGTAGCAAAGAATTTCCCACTTTAACATGTGACACTTTCTTGCTTCTGCTCCAAATCCCGTAACGTCAGTCTGATGAAAGTTTTATGGAAAATAGAGCAGTGCTGCACATGGAAACAAGTTACTGACGTTCAGTAACAGCTCATGGAAGCACAACACAGAGGCAATAGGAAAAGTGCTTGTGAAGACTCTGTTTTTTTTTTTCCCCTATGTCTTTATTTGCATTATCACAGTCTTTCGTGGGTGGATATACTAACAGGCTTTGCTGACAAGTTCTAGCTTCTTCACTGTGGTGTCCCTTTTTCTTTTTTTACTGACAAGAATGATTTTTGTGGCTGAAAGAAGTTAGCTATCAGTGTCAGTGTAGGAACAGCATGCATTGAAGAAGTATTCAGACATGCTGAATTGGGGGAAAGAAAGCAGGCAGAGGCAGCAAACCTCAAACTAAGGAACTACGAGGAGGAATGGGAAGAAGTGCAAAATATTTGGGCTCAAGCTGGAAGATTTCCTCAGGATAATTGAGAAAATTTGGATGAGTAAATGGGTACAATCTCTTTGATGTAGGGAAGATTATCTGCCACAGACTGGCTCCAGAACTGTTAGTCTTTACATCAGACTTTTTAATATTTCAGTAAATTGTGGACTACATCAGATTTTGATTTTTAAAATCTATGCTTAGCAAATACTTTTAACTATATTATTCTGAGTGAAGGATTTTCTTGAAGTTAAGATAACATTTTATTTGAATATTTGTTGATTTTAATGATGAGTTTAATATTGTTTCTTTTAGTTACTCGAGAACAAATTGTGCTTCCACGAAGGAAAACCTGGTAAGTATTTGTTTATTGTTGGAAAAAATGCTGACGTGGAAAAAATGTCAGAAAGCTAAACGTAATATATTTGTGCGTACGACTGAAGTGGGGAGTACCAAAGAGAATTCTGCATTGCTACCTGTTGCAAGTGAGATTTCTGTAATGGGAAGCAGATGCGCTCTGTGGTGTTTGTCTTTTTTATAATTAGTATTTCACTTGGCAGTATGTTGGCACATTTGAAAATGAAAATTGAAGTTGCTATTGTCATGGAATTAGTGGTTCATTAGTGATTTTTCCTCTGACTGGGAGTCCTGGGACTACTCTTAATACTTCCTTTCTATGCAGGGTATGCATACTTCACTCCTGAACTTTCTTTTAAAGATAATTACCTACTCCAACTTTAACCATAGTTCTATTTCTTCATGAAAGATCATGTTCACTAGTTTTTTGTTTGTTTTTTGCTTGTTTTGTTTGTGTTTTGTTGTTGTTTGTTTGGTTTTTGGGCAAAATCAGCTTGGTCAGTTGAATATAATCCTTCCTAGAAATAATGCAGCTGAGCAAAAGTGATTTAGTTAGGATTGTCTTAATGTTCTGAAGCACTTAACAGAATCACAGAATGCTTAAGGTTGGAAGGGACCTCTAGGCATCATCTAGTCCAACCCCCCTGCTCCAGCAGGGACACCTAGAGCACGGGGCACAGGGTGGCATCCAGACGAGTTTGGAAGATCTCCAGAGAAGGAGACTCCACATCCTCTCTGGGCAGCCTGTTCCAGGGCTCTGTCACCTCACAGTAAAGAAGCCCTTCCTCATATGGAGTTGGAACTTTCTGTGTTTTCATGAAATTGAATGATTGTATGGGGAAAAAACAAAAGTTATAGCAAAACTTCCTATAAACTTCATATAAACTGAGAATAAGATGACCTGAAAGCTTAGTATTTTTTTCTTTCGGTATTCTTATTTATACTTGTTTGTTATATGTCAGGACAGGACACTAATGCAGAGTTAGCTTGAGGAAAATAACTACCTAAAATATTTTCTGGTTTGTATACCTTCATGTGGTTAGTTTCCAGATATGTTCCATCCATGTGATGTGATTCACCCGTCAAATAGCTTGCTTAAACTTATGCTCATTTTACCTCAACATTTTTTAAGATCTGTCCATGTCTCTTTTTTTGTTATTAACACTGTAAAGGGCTATGAAAATTCCTAGTAACATAGTGCCCTGCCATTTGCTTGCATGTTCTGACCATGTCAGGTGTCATGTAATATTGTTTGTGTTTGGGAGGGTGGTTTCTTTTTCCTTTTTCCTCCTGGGTAAATGGCTGCATTCTCAAGATTTTCAAAGACCTGTTCACTGTTTGCCTGAAACATAGCCAGAGTCTAAAGGATGTGCAAGGGCATGGGCCTGGTGAAATCATTCCAGAATTGAGACTTTCATTCAAGATTTGTCTTGAAGAGAGACTGCTATATCTGGCATTAAGAGATGGGATAGTCTTTAGAGACTCTGAGCTTGTGCTTTTCTGTCCCTGTCCTCTGTGCTGCCCTTGATAATATATAGCAAAGAAGGAAGTAGTGGTAAAGGGAGCACGCACACTTTTTGGGTTTTCCTCAAAGTCTTTATCTTAATCCCTTTTTTGGCCTGCAAGAAATGTAACGCACAAGATTGAAAGTCTGTTACACAATGCTAATCAAAACTCCTTCTTTTATAGGGATAAGCTAGCAGTTCTTCAAGCACTGGCTTCTACAGTAAACAGAGTAAGTTTTTCTGTTAAGATTGTGGAGATTGAATTTTCCATCTCATGTGTTCGACTGTCACTTAAAAAGATCAAATTTCTGCCTTGACCATAAAAGAAAAACAGGACTTTAACATGTTAGAGTAAAGGATTTTCACTTTTGCTTAATACTGTTTGCTGTGTCTATAAAAGCCTTTACAAGTGCCCTCTGCTCCCCCAAGACTCTGCTAGGTGTGGGGGCGCATTTGCTGTGCAGCACATGCATTGCCTGTCATATGACAGTAAGGACCCTCTTGCAGTCATTATGTTAGCCTGCATTTGTGTGTGTGTGTGCAGAGAAGGTGCTCTTAAAGCCGTTCCCAAGAGACTCACCACTTTGAACTGTTGTTTTGTTTTGTAAATGGGCATCAAGCTATGGTGAAGGTGGAAATGTTTGTTGTGCCTTGAAGTGCATGGGGCAGTGTGATAGGTTTACAGCACAACTCTAAGCCTTGAATCTTGTACTCTCCTTCATGCAGGATCCTACTGCTGCTCATTACATGTTCCAGGATGACCCTTACCTTATGCCCAGAAATACAGCCAGTGCTGTAAGTATTTTCTCTCAGATCTTTGATAGCTTCCTCCCCCCCAGACTATGGGAACTTTTGCCTGTTCTTGTTTTGTCTTAGTTAACAAAATAATACGATTTTTTTGTCCATGTGTTTTTTAACTCATAGATTTTCTGGATACAAAAAAAAAATGCTGCATAGGGAGGGGGGCAAAAATTTCCTTTTTTTTTTCCCCGCCCCTATAGGGAGCTGCCAACTGCTACAGCTTTGTTAAGTCCTGTGGTTAGTGGCCTACCTGTTTGGTTATTCCAGTTCTTTGCATTCCTAGTCCATTAAATAAACCCAAGAGTAATTCTTTAGGTTATTATTTATGTATGTTGCTATGTAGACTACATATTGTTAGTTATTTTCCTGTGCAAGATGCAGGAATTTTAATGTTATCACAGGACAGCTGCTCTGTAATTTAGTTGTATTTAGTTGAGAACAGAAAGAGAGAAGGAAAGGATTTTTCTCCTGGTGTTGTCTTTATCTAAGATGAAAGAGCATGAAGCTGAGGCAGAAGAAAGCAGAGCTGAAAAGGAGGGCAGGAAGAAGAGTCCAGCTTAAGAACTTGAGGAAAAGGAGGGAATGAGATTTGGGTGAGGTAAATGACAGATGGGGAGAGAAATTGCCTGGTGCTTTATTTATGAAGAGAAAAGCCTTTGAACTGGCAGTAGTAGTGCAGCCTCTTATGTATATGTCGGAGACTAGGTCGAGGGAGAAGCAAATTGCATTCTCATTTAAAGAAGTCGTCATAAATATTTGGATGCTGGAACAGTCAGCTGTATGCTCTTCCCAAGAGCTGAAAAGGAAGAATGAGTTAAATTTGGTCTCCTCAGAATGTTCAGAAACCTTTTTGTCATTCTCAGCCTCGTTCAGGTTTAATTGTGTGTTTCTTCATCAAACTCCTGTTCTGTCTCTCTCCTGTGTAGCGTCTCCTAGCGTTGGCGAAGGAGTCTGGGAGAAATGCTGCCAAATACATTATTAAGGAATTTCCTCAATATTTTGACAAAATTACTGCGGAGCCTAACGTACTAGTAAGATTTTGCTTTTCGTTTTCATCCTTTCTGTGTCTTGTCAGTAAATGAAATTACTGGTAAGACTCGGTCTACTGTAAAAGGATAATTTTGTTAACCGTTCTGTAGACGACTGTGAAAGCAGTGATATATCTTTAGTCTATTTCTTAAGTGAATATTCGGACATAGGAATTAGAGCTCTTATGAAAAATGGGAGATCAGGATGTGTGTTCCTTTATCACCAAACTGTTAAGCTGGGAGAGTCAGGGATAAAACAGCATATTATTGGATGAAGAATAACACATTTGATTGTTTTGGCTTTGGAAAGGCTTAAACATCTGTTTAACTTTTGCTCTTTGCTTTCAGTGTTTAATGCCTGAGATTACTACGCCTCAGATTGAAGGAGTGAGTGAGGCAGCTCTGAAGGAGCGTATCCAGCTCAGAAAAGTGAAAGCTGCTGTGGACCTCTTTGATCAGCTCCTGCAGGCAGGTGTGTGCTTTGTTGCACGATTTTGAGCTGGAGCTTCATTTACACTGTACCAAAAAATGATTTGTTAATTGGCATAACCTCACGTGAGTTAGTCACTGTGAACGCTGCATGTGTAAGTGACATCTGTCACTTTGCTGCTGTAATGGCATAGCATAGCATACCAGCTGGGAGCCCCTTCTGTGCCAATGTCCTCAGTAAATGATTCTTTACAATTTCCTCCTTAATCTGGATCTTATCTCTGTCATGGGTGAATGAGGAGAAAGCAATAGAAAACTCAACAGCCAGAGCCTCTGAAGGAGGAAGATCAGTTGAGATCATCTCACATCCCCTGGCGCATGGAAGCAGATGGAATCTTCCCTCAAACCATTCTTTTGCTTGTTGTGTTTAATACATTTTGTAGGAATGTGTTCACCTAGTGGTATTCGCAAATGGTTCTATTCAGTGAGTAGTTACGAAAAGCATGTGAAATTTTAGCTGTTGACTTGAGGCTTTGGTTACTTGTCACTCTTCTTTGCCAGCTGCTCCTCCCCTTTCCTACTTGATAAGCAAAACTCCATTTTTTCCAACTCTCGAGGTGGCATTGGTGTAAAAAAGGGTAGTCTAGTTCAGTGTAAAAAGTGTCTTCTAATGTGACTGGGTTTCTGAAAGTAGATTTGCTAGAGAACAGCTTTATGTCAGAAGAGAACAAAGTAACTGAATTTGGCATCTAGAAGTGTGCTAAAGTGCTGTGGAGTTACTAGCATATTCTTTACTTTCTCTGCAACTGTTGTGCATCCTCTTTATTTATTTATTTATTTTTATAGGTACCCCTGTATCTTTAGAGACCACAAACAGCCTTTTAGATTTGTTATGCTTCTATGGAGATGCTCAGGAAGAACAGGGTGAACAAAAGAGAGATTTGGAAGAAGTAGAGGTATGAAATAACTATTATTTCTGTCTTAAATTATGTAGGAATGTTTTGGGGTGAGATTGAGATTTATGTACTCTGGCTGCCTGGCAGGTGGGGTGAGATGGGTCAGATGCTGTGTCTTGAAGGGATGTTTGTTGTAGTTATAGAAGCCTTGTGTCTGATCTGCTAGCAAACATAGTTTCCCTAAAACTGAATTTAACAGCTGAAACACTGCCCCTGTTTCCTAGGGGCAGTCATGTTTTTATAGTTCTCCTGAAAAGGCAAATTCTACTATATCTAGTGTAGTTCAGCTGTCTGAACACTAATAATTGAGTTTTAATGAGAGTGGGGAGTTCCTTGTGTAACCTTGGAGTATTAGTTGATTGAATACAGCTGTAGAGGTCTTTTAAAATACCTCTTTCCCCTTCAACAGTTTATCCAGGAATAGTTTAATAGATTATGTGATATACTTCAAGGATTTCCACTAACTCCACAAAAAAATCAAGCATAAATAACTTGTCTTGTTAGCATGTTTAATAAACAGTGTATGTCTAAGTATGTTCAACATAAACAGTTTTCTTACTTAAGTTTAACTTCTTGAACACTGCAATAGAAATCATTTTATCATAACTCGTACTAAACCAGCTTTTGGAGCATACAGATTGCTGCTGTTATTAGCAAATCACGTCATTCGATGTTGAATCATAACTTTGCATTCTGAAAAGCTCATTTCCACAAAAATCTTTTCAGGAGAATAATGCCGAACAGAAAAGTCCAAAGAGGCGGTTCCAAAAATCTTTGAACTCGTCTGGCTTTACATGGAGGTATAGAACATTCTTCTGATAATCCTGTATTCAGTGGGCTGTGTGCATGTATAAAACAGATTTAGAGACTTTTTGGCAAGCTACAAATGAGAAAACTTTCTGGAGGAGGTGTGGGTCTGCCAATAGCAAACTTTATAGATATCAAGCTTGCTTTTCTTACTTATGTCTTGGAAGTGTTCCATGATTAAAAAAAAAATTATTTCGTTATATTGAATTTGCAAAATCAGCTGACATGTTTACAGATTATACTTATTAAATACACCTGTAATCCTTAAAACTTTTAAGGTGGTGATGGAAGTCTAGTAAATGATTATAGAATCTCTTAATGTGGAAAGAGTAATATATTTGAATGTCAGTCCTTAGAAATACAGCCAATTGCTTTGTACGTTGGACTCTTCATAACGGTGTCTTTTACTGCATTTTTGACATGCAAGCTGTTTCTTGAATCTAGGGAGGACTGTGATGCTGAAAGGATTTTTAAGATAATGCCAGAGAGAAATGCACACTCCTATTGCACAATGATCCGTGGGATGGTGAAGGTAAAACTATCCTTCAAGGCTGGGAGGCTTTTCTCAGCTTGTGAAATCTCACATAGAGAGTTTGCCAGTGTTTTTGTTCATTTACAAATTTATTTCCAGCACGGAGTTCCTGCTAAAGCCTATGACATGTATGTGGAGTTGCTGAATGAAAGGCATAAAGGTATGTGTGTCTTGGTTTAGATTTGTGGTCTTCTAAGTAGCAGAAGCCTGTTTTGGGGTACATATCTACTCATTTCATGGCCATGATGATTGGCGCAGGGGTACGGACCTCAGCTAGATCATGGGAGCTGAATGCAAATTGCTTATTCAGTGCAGCTGGCGTGTGGCTGGCTCTCTGGAAACGTGTTTGCATGAGAACTTCGCCAGGAACTGAGCCATGGTAGAACAAGCATGTTAGAACATTCTCTGCAGGGTTCAGTTATCAGTTAAAACTAATTATCCTGTTTTTTCCAGCTGATGTGCACACTTTCAACGCACTGATTACAATAGTCCCATATCTGAAGGAGAAGTTCGTGGAAAGATGGGAATTAATCAAGGTAAGGAGGTAGAGGGCGAAAATTTGCAGCTGTTGCAAGACTAATGCTACAAACAGGATCTACCTAGAAGGTACTAATTTAAGCTACTACTGCATAGGAAATACACCAATTTAAACATACAAACTAACTACTGAAAGTAGAAAATGTGTGAAATCAAACCCGTACCTGCATAAAATAATGTGCCATTTAAGAACACAGCTGATCCAAGAACTGTGCAGAGAGAAAAGGGACTGGGAAGTTAGGTAGGGAGATGAAGAAAGCATTTTTAGCTAAAACTTCTCTGAAATGTAATTGAAGGTGTTGACGGAAATGGAATTTGGGGATAACTTAGAATTTCCAGTTCTGAAGCGCTAACATCAGAGAAGAAAATTGGGAAGTGTAAAAATCTTACTTGCATGCTAAATATAAGTCTTGAAGTGCTGCTGAAGTGATTTAATTGTGCAGTTCCATTTCTTGGCTAGCTCATTTGAAGATGAGATAGCACTCCCTTTACTAAAAGATGTGTTGGGACACAGTCATTTACTTACAGGGGAAGACACCATTGAGATTGCAAAAATGCTGTGATCTGTAACATGTTAAATACTGAGAGGTTGGGCTCTTTTTATTTGTTTCAGGAGTTCCTGAATCACATGGTTCAACAGAAGGTGCAACCTAATGTGCTAACTTTTAATGCTGTGCTGAAGGCTCTGAGGAGATGTGGTGGCGTAGGCAGGAGCGTGTCTTTATCAGTGATAAAGGAAATGAAAGCACTTGATATAGGTAAGAGGAGCAGAGTAGTGTTATATTCCAGTGCCAATTCCAAAGCAGCAAATTTAAGAGAGTTCAGCAGCAAACACAGTGACTCCCAATTCTAGAGAAGAAATAAAAGCATTTGCCAGTGCATTTACACACTGAAATCTGTGATATTTAAGGCTCTTTAGTCGTGAGCTTGTCTATCATTACATTATTTACATCTGGCTATTTTAGGGCAGGTGAGTTCATGCGGTGGGGGAGCAGGTCCTGGCCTCTTCTGCTCTTTTCTCAGCTGGGCCCTCCTTGTGCTACTGCAGCAGAAATAGTGAATAATATGAATATATAACCACAGCAGGCAGCTGAGTCAGCTTGTTTCCTGCATAGCAAGGAGATGTAGTTCACAAGCTACCAAATTAAGGTTAGGGTTACATATCTACATCAGCAACAGGGGGAAGAAGAAAACAAACTTTTATTATTCTAAATGATGATTTTTTATTTTATTTTTGGATGATGTCAGCTCACTATTTCAGACATAGGGAACATCTGCACAATTCGTTCTGTGTTGTAGAGGGTGCTTTTTCCTGGTCATGTGCATGCTGCTGTAGTAGAGGTCTGTTCCTGAGCAGAGTGGAAAGCTAGTCATGAAATACTTATGCTGTGAATTTGAAGCGCAGAGGCCTGGCTGCTTGCCCCATTGCAATATGATATCCCAGCTGGTGGTCTGTCCTCAGGAGTCCTCTTTCCCAGCTCTCATGTGCGTGAGGTCTGGTCCAGCAGTTGGCTGGAAGCTGTAAGAGATGGTAGAATAAATTAGGCACTTGTCTAACTGGAAGGGCTGAGGACAGGGAAGGAGAGCTCGGACAGAAAGTTCAACTAAGGGTGTCAAAGTAGGTGACTCTGATGTTTTTGCTTTTCAGAGCCCAGCCTTGCAACATATGAGCATCTTCTCTCCATATTTTATAGAACTGGTATGTTCAATATGAACCTGTATGTGAATGTGTCCTGTTTAGTTTCTATGATAAGTGCTTCCCAAACATTACGGATGTTGTTATGTGGCATAATATAATGTTGTAAACAACTTATGTGTGCAATTCTACTCAGGTAGAATCAGACAGCACAGATTGGACTCTCACAGAAAGAAAAGCTGCAGAAGATGATCCTAACCTCTTATAGGCAAAGGCACAAGTCCTTGTGCTCCAAGGACTGGTGGAACTGGAAAGAAATCCTGTTTCCATTTGTGGCCTCAAATGGATAAAACTGGCAAGCAAATGCTGCACAAGTCTGACTAATTCACATGTGATTTCATAGTCTGCCCCACTCACAGGGAAGAAACTGTAGGGAGATTCTGCCTTTTGGGGACCTGTTCTGTGATTTGGAGCTGTCTTGAAATACTTCTGAGGAGGAAGGTGGAAACCCAAATCTTGCAAATCTGTTGGCCAGAAATCCTTGGTCATGGGAGGAGAATAAACACAGTTGTTATGATACAGAAATCTGGCAATAGTAAGGCAGCTTTTAGTGCTAATAAAATGGCTGCTGGGCTTGGGAATTGTAAGTGGGGAATTAGCAGAATCTTGCCATCTGTTTCCAGTGTGTGTTTCCATTTCCGTAGTATGTTTGCACCCTGGAGTTCTTTACTGAATGAAGCACATAGTGCAAGTCAGATGTGATGTTGCTTGTCTGTTTGTCCCACAGTTGAGCTTCATCCATCAAACATCATCACTGAGGTGCTAGAAGAAGTTGAAAAGAGGAGTTTCACTGCCCAGGACCCACATGATGGTACCGATAACCTACTTTTTTTAAGCATGGATGTAAAAGTTACTTTAGGAATTTCAAATAGTTCAGCCAGGCAGAAGGACTGCGTGGAGCTTGTGTAAATCTGTCCCTTCTAATAATTTTTGGAGACAAAAAAGGTAGTGCCTGCAGGTGTGTGCAGAGGCATGTTGGCTTCTGTGGTGGTCACAGGAGTAGTTTACCCTGTGAATGCGTGTTCTCTGCAGTATAAAACATGAAGCTGTTCACAAGACTGTTTCAAGGAGAAGCATCTGCTAGCAGCTTCGGTGTAATGATGCATTTCTGGTGACGAGATTGCAGTGTGATGCACCTTCCTGACCTAGTTCTTTCTAAGTCTTTTCAGCAAATTACATGTAATGAAACTTCACAAAAAGCAGTATTCCAAAATTCAGCCTTGAATCTGTAGAAAGGGTCAGTTGTGAATATCTCATGTCTCATGGGCTCTCGCTCCCCTCTTTATGTAGACTCTTTACCCTAGGATGTAAGCAAGCCTTCTGTACATACAGAAGTAGCTGTGTGACAGAGAGAGTCTGCAGCTGTGCAAGTAAATGTAGCTCCTGTAGGAAATTCAAACAAAGCTTATGTTTCAATCTGTTTCTGATAGCACAGCAATATTAATTGCCTCCAGAACACTGGCTAGCAAAATTCATACCATGCCAAAGTCTCTACCTATAAAGTCAAGATCCCTGTTATATTGTCAGCTTAGCTAGCAGTCTGCTTTCTGATTGAAGATGTCGTGTCTGTCCCCGGCAGGTTGGTTAATGAGCTGCTTTATGCCTCCTTCAAAGCTGCAAACTAACAGACTCCATTCTTTTTCCTTTCAGCCAGATTTTTTGTCACCGCTATGCAAGTGGTAAGTACCTGCTGCCTGCAATCAGAATGAATTATTCCTTTGAGTTCTCCAGCTATTTTGGAATTACCTGTGAGCTTTCCAACCTCTCATCAATACTTCTGCTCTCAGTATCTTCTCCTATTTCACGTGTCTCTGTCACCTCCTGTAACTTCTCTCCCTTAGTCTGTGTTTCTTTCCTTGATTCCTGCCAAACTGCTAACCTGTGTGACTTTGGTACGTGCACAAGTCCCTGTCTCCTTGTGCCCTGTCATCTGCTGCCAGTCACGCTGCAGCTTCTCAAACCCTCTGCTGAGGTGAGAGAGCAGCTCTTAATTTTGCCCTCTGGGGCAATCGCACATATCTGTCTTAACTAAAGAAAGTGCCTAGTCAGTCATTGCACTGAACTGCATCCTGTTGTCAGAATTGTTTGCTTTCAGCTTCTTATATATGTGAAGCTAAGTTTAAGCAGGATGTACTGAGTGTTATTTTCTTTGGTAGCTTTAAAAATCTGCCTGGTTTATTCCAGTGCTGCGATCTTAAGGATATCAAGCTTGCCTATAGGTTAAATAAATCAATGGAGAAAGGAGACAACTGGAAATTCTTAGACACGGATCAGTTAAGTGTCTACTGGTAAGTGAAGTGCGGCTTATGTTCAGTGTCTGAAGTGCTGTTAGTTTGAATGCAAGCACTGTGTGGTAGGATGTGTTGTTGAGCATCAGCTAGCTGCTAGATGTGCAATTTAGGACTTAACTGTTCTTCAGAGGAACTTTGTTATTTATGACCTTTCCTAAACTGAAAGTTTCTCAGAGTATGTGAAGTTAGGTGACGTTCATAAAAGAAGGTTTTGTGTGTGTATGAACCTGGAATTAGATAATCCTCAAACTCAGTATTTAAAGTGATGCCTCTTTAGAGGTCCCTCTTGTGCTCTCGTGCTGCCAAGAGAGCGGAGAAGGAACAGAAGTCTGTACCCAGCCCTTTCACTGCCTCAGTCTAACTTAATCCTCACCTGGCCAGTTGTATTTTCCACAGTTCTGTTGTCCACTTAGTATAACCATAACCTCCTAACCATTTATGCTGAAATGGGACACAGGTCCAACCTGGCTGGCTGCATGCTGTTGTAGTTTGCAGCACAGCAGTGTTTAAGCATCGAACTCCAAGTAATTCTGCCACTTGATAATATAATTGTGCCATCCGAAGCATCTTAATGAGTGTTATTTAATACTGCACTCACAGAGCATAATTCAGTGCTTGGACTGATACTGACCTGGTCTGAAGAAAAGCCCATTTGAGCAGTGGGACTAGTGGCACTTTAATAAAATCATGAAAAAATAGTATCACTAAAATAAGGTGAAGCTTGAGGTGGGGTGATTCATGGGATCCGATTTCATCTTGCAGGTAAATAAATCAAGGCAAATTAATTTCTTGGTATAGAGAAATTGTTTTCCTATCCCATTTATTGGCTTAAAGTCCCAAGCTTGTATTGTGAAATGCAGCAAGTAGCCAGGTTAAATTACCTGGATAATTAACAGGTTAATTTAGTTCAGTTCTTAGTTTAAGTTGTGTTTGAGAGGGATTCATATTACTTCAAACCCAGTGTCGGGTAGAAAGGCTGTGTGTTGTAGAAACTGTGAAAGGCAGTGGCCTATTTTTAACTAATCCCGACAGCTGCCTGGTTTTAGCAGTAAGTGTGTGAATTTGTTTGCTTGTTTTTCATCAAAAAATAGTGCTGCTTTTTAAATTGTGTTAGTTTGTGATAACCTTCAATATGAAGCTGATCAGAACACCATGATTTGCTGGTGCTTCTGTATTGTTCAACTGATGTAACTGTTGCTATAATCAGTACTTTTTGTCCCCCTGCAGGTCAAAATTCTTTTCCCTGCTGTGTATGATGGAACAAATCGATGTTGTCATGAAATGGTACAAGGAAATGACCCCTTCAGTAAGTCTGCCTTGGTGTAAGCAGGTGTAAAGCTTTAGTATGGAGAAGCTCTGTGGTTATAGTAGACTAAAGTCACTGTCTTCTTTCATCAGCTCTTCTATCCAAGTCCTAGAAATCTGCTTGACCTCCTTCAAGCGCTGGATGCAGCCAACCACTTGGAAGTGATCCCTTCAGTTTGGAAAGGTGGGTTGGAGCCACACAGCTACCTGGGCAATCTGCTCAACTGAAGCCACTGTGAGTGTGAAGTGGGAGGGAGGTGCAAGCGGGGCTTCTACTTGGACCACATGGGTATCTCTGCTCCCATCTTCAAGCTGTGAACCAGCCCCGGAGGCTTCCCAGTGCCACCCCAGGAGTGCTGGGGGATGCGCTGGCCTGAGGGGCCTCGTTCTGTAGGGCAAAGGTGGAGCTGTTGCACTAGAGAAAGGCAGAGTTGTCACTTTGACTGGAGGTGCAGAAATCAGACCGATGGAGGCTGTTTCATTGTTAATATTTATTTCTTGGAAAACTGAGTGCTTACCAGAGAGTAGGGCCTTTAATCTGCAGCCCAGGCTTAACTCTTTAAACTTACTTTACTTACTAATTTACATTAGTAAGTAAGTAGTAGTAGTAAGTAAGTAGTAAGTAAACTCTTTAACTTACTAATGTAAATTCATTGCCTAGTTTTTACACCTTCAGAAGGGGAGACAAGAATGCAGCTAAAGGCTTTAACATGCAGAGAATAGGCTGCTAACTGCTGTCTTTCTCTAAGCAGATATCAAACAGTTGGGGTTTAATAGGAGACAAGATCTGATAGAGGAGCTTTTGTCTTTGATGAGCAGGGAGCAGCACCCTCAAGAGGTAAGGACACCCAGCAAGGAGGGAGTAGAGTGTTTGGTGTTTGAGTGTGGCACAAACACAGCGTTCAGGTGCTGTGTTACTGTCCCTGGTCACTCTTCTGGTGTTCCTCCAATTGCTGTTCACGTATCCATACAGAGACACAAGTTTATGTGAGCCTTCGAGAGATCTCAAATGAACAAAGGAAGAGAATTCCTCCCAAACCAGGAGCCTGGGAAGGAATCCAGCCACAGGAGCTGTTCAGCCAGAGCTTAGCACATCGTTGGGAATGGAGAGTGCAAAAATCATTGCAGTAACTGGCTGCTCAAACCGAGGAGGATGAAAGGCTTGTGCACCCTGCAGGGCTGGCTTTCCCGCCAGAGCCGTCTGGGAGCAACCACTGCTAATTTACAAATCTAAATCATGCAAAGGCAGAAGTTAACATTATTCCAAAGGCTTCAAAGAGGAACCTGTTGCAGATGTATCAGCTAGTGGTTTTGATTCTAGAGGTTTGGACATTAATAGCCTAATCTTCCACAGATCCAGCTGGCATTTGCCCAGTGTGCAGAAGACATTAAAGCCACCCACGAGCAGAGCGGGAGGGAGCAGGCGCCGCTGGAGTGGTCGGGCAGCGCCCTGGGCCACGTCGTCGTGCTCTTCTCCAGGGCTGGCAGGACCCGGGATGCTTGGTACGGATGTGGCCCTCAGGAGCCATGTGTCCACACTGTAATTCTCTTGTTCACGCTGCAATTCAAGCCATAATCACAAAAATCAGAAGCTAATGAGTGACTGCCTTGGGACACTAGTGCAGATGCCAGCAGGGAGTAAATCCTGCTGGGAATGTCATCCACCAGGATAGTAAAGGGAGAGTCATCTTAATTTTGCTGTTCATTCTTGGCATGAAGTTACAGCTTCCTGTTGTATAAAATGGTTCAGAAGTAAATGTAGCAGCTGGCTTAAAGCATCGTACACCTGCTCTGGGCAAGGCAGGGGCTGCTTAGCACTCTGTAAGTGCTGCTGATTTCCTAGAACTCCCTAATTTCTAATTTTCAGAATTCCTTAAGAGTTTAAGTACAGCATTAATATTAACTCTAAGTAAAATTTTAATTAAGCACTAAAGTATTTTAGAATTTAGAAGCTAGAATTTTCTGTCCTGCATGCTTTCAATTCAGAATACTGATTGAAATGCCTAGCCCCAAATTTCGGGTTATGAACCATTTTCCATTAAATACAGATAATGTCTTTACCCTGATTCATTTGGAACAAAGAAGTGGCAAGTACCTCCTTAAAAATATGTGAATTTTAAATTAAAATTCTCACTAGCTACACTGTTTATTTTTTATGTAGTAGAAATTACCAAATAGCTTAACAATGGCCTTACACTGCCTCTGCATATGCCAGGCAGAAGGTGTTTACATAAGAGATTTAATACCTGCCTCTCTTTTTTTCTCTCTCTATTTTTTTTCCTTTATTTTCTTCTGTTGAACAGGACCATGATGGAGCATTTCCAGCAAATCAATAGGATCCCCACGTGAGTACATTCGGATTCTGACTTCCCATACTGAGTGAACAAGAGATCTGTGTCTCCCTGTTTGCCCTGCGTGTGCTTATGTGCATGTGTGTCCGTCCCTGTGAGCACAGGGGGTTTGTGTATCAGCTCATACTGATGTCCTGAGATCTTCCTGCATCTCAAGCATGATGAAGATGCAGGCGATGGTTTAAGTGGTTGATACTTGGTTGATACTTCATTCTGCCAGCCCCATAAAATAGGGGCAGGGCCTCATGTGGGGGCTGTAAAGGTGGGTTATTTAGGCTGCTGCAAAGGTAGGATCCTTACTCTGAGCAGTGCTCTGCCTCTGTGCAGCGGAGCAGAGGTGCTGCTTTTGGTGACAGTAGGATTCCTAGACTTGTCTGGAGCAAAGTAAAATTCCTAACAGCTCTGGAAGGAGCAGAATTGGGCTGATTCTGAGTTACTTGAAAATCTGTCACCTCCTTTTCCCATTCTGAAGCCCCTGCTGAGGGTCCCATTCCTGTTCTCTTTTCTCTCGCAGTGACCAGGTGATGGATGAGTTCCTGACCTGTGCCAAACAAACCAACTGCCCCGATGAGGCCATCAGTCTGGTAAAGCTGGCAGCCTCCTTTGGGCTCCCTTCAACCCCGAAGCTCAAAAGCAGAACAGAGCAGGAGTTTGAACTCTCTGAAAAGCAGAGGTAAGTTGGAGTACTCAGCAGCCCTGCTCAAAGGGGTGATGAGAGAGGGTGTCGGGTGGTGGTTCCTTCGCTGTGGCTTTTCTGCCAAGGACAAGATGGGCTTTCTGAAGGGCACGTGTCAAACGCTGCCCTCTGTGCTGACAGGCACTGTGGTTCGGGTCCCTTGCAGAAATTCCCCGGTGTTTGATGGCAGCCTGCCCAGAGGGCAGTAGCCTTCCCTGTGGGAGCTGGTCCTGTCCAGCGCCCCAGGCTGGCCCCTGCTTCCTTTCCCAGCGTGTTCTGCAGCCGCCCCGTCAGCGAGCGCGTGCGTGGGGCTGGGGAGGGCTCAGGGGCTCCGGGGTGCTTGGCAGGTTCTGAGGATCCCGTCACCCCTCTGCCCTGCTGCCCTGGCAGGTTGGTGCCAAGCTGCTGCAAACCCAGACCACGGCCAGCACCTTGAGGTGCCACAGCCTGGCAGCCACCGCTCTGCTCCGGGGCATGAATAAATAGACATTCCAGCAGTCTGGACAGCTGGGCCTCTGCTGTCCTGCTTTCTGGAAAGGAGCTGGACGTACCCCTGCCAGACCTGGGGCAACCCATCCTTTGAGAACGGTGCCCCCAGAGAGCTCCTCGTGTTCTCTTTCGTGTTTTGTCCTTGGTTTCAAGCTGAAGTTTGCACCAGGGCTCTGATCTTTGTTTTCTGCCTACAGGATGGCACTGGAGAGTATCCAGGTGGATGGTGACAGCAGTGACAGCGACAGTGATAGTGACCGTGAATAGCTGTCCTTCCTACCTTCCCTTTGGGAAAACTGAGGATGCCTGCTGCTGTGTGCAGTAGAATGGATTGCTCTGGAGACCTCCCCTACCTCTCCTTTTCCTACCTGTGCAGCAGCTCTCCCACCACTCTGTCAGGGGAAGTGCTGGGCAAGAGCACAGTGTCCTCCTCAGGAACCCAGGAGACGACTTGTTTGATGCCCTCTAAAGCTTGGAACACAGCTGGGATAGTCCAGGTGGGATCTGCTGCATCACGGCCTGCAAGATCCAACTGCTGCTGCAGCCTGGGGAGCTCCTGTGCAGGGAGTTGCTGCCCGGAGGCTGCTGAGCACCTGCACATGCTTGGGTGAGATCACTGTTTCGGTGGCTTAAAAGGATAAACTTACTCTGTATAAACTTCCTTTGTACATAAACAATGCGAGTGATGTAGCAGGAATCACCAGTGTGTTTCTTCCTTGGGGGCCTAGCAGAACCTGTGCTGCCTTTTGGGTGTTCTGGGACAGGCTTTGGTCTGTGGTTTAAAGCTGTGATGGAAATAAGTGTTGACCTCTGTATAGATGGAGACTGTATCTCTTAAATGTCTGCCATGAAATTACACTTAATACTTCCTTAGCTAAAATGATTTATTATAGAAAATCTTGCTGCTGGTCTGTGAGAGGATAAAGTTCCTGTACTTTATCCTTACACTGCTGTAAACCTCTGTTTGGAGCTTGTCAGAGACTCCTGCAGGTCATTTCCAAGGTAGTTTGGCTGAAAGTGCCAGGGAAGCTGTGTTCCTTTGGCACAGTCCCAGGGAGGGAGCGTACAGCTTTATCTCTGTGCTTAGGAGTCTTAAGTCATCGTGAGAGCTCAGTGCTGTGGTGGGGGAAGCAGCAGGCTCAGAGTATTGAGCCTGGCAAGGAGCCTCTGCTGCAGCTTGAAGAAGCTTCAGCTTGAAGGCTGCAACTGAAGTGTTCCTGCCCTTACACTAAGTGTGTGCAGGGGAGCTCGTGGGAGGGCACGACTGCTCTAACAGGCACTGCTAAACCCGGCTACAGCTCATGCTGTGAGGCTAGGCTAAGCCTGCGCTCAGAGGGGGATGCTCTACAGCTGTTGTACACAACTGAAGGGCCCTTTGAGCACATCAGTGAATTCCTGCTTCTTGGAAAAGGGATTTTTAGAGATAGAGGTGAGTCTTTCCCCAGTCACTGAGGCTCAGCAATAGGGCCAGCTGTTGTCTGTAGTTTATTTTAAATAGGAAACTGAACCTCAGGAGAGAGTGGTTGAAATATGGTTTTATTCGGCTGACAAAGTGGCAAATCAGTACTGACAGGTTACAAACATTATTCTGGTTGGATCACGAGCCCTCGTGGTAAGATGGAGCAACAAAACTGTTACACAAATTAGAGAGAAGCTTCCTGACGGTGGCCCTCGTGCTAACTCAGAACCAAGACGAATGCAGCAGGTGGTGGTGAAGGTAAACACAGTGCGAGGGAACAGGACGGGACCGCGCTCGGCTTGGGTGCTTCCAGCCCCTGCGCCCTGCTTGGTTTGTAACCTTGCAGCCTGGTGGGTTTCTTGCCAGCACAATCCCTGTAAGTGCCCCCGAGCTCTGCCCCTACTCTACTGCACTTGTGTTGTCCCCAGCCCCATGGCGCTGGCGTAGGCCGTCAGGATATCCACAATTTGTTTCGTTTCTAGGGTCATCCGAGCCTCAGCCAGCCAGTCGTGCGCCACTCTCCTCGACTCCCCTCTTAACTGGTTGACGAATTTAGCTGCCAGCTCCAGATCTCCGTGTTCGATGCAGTAGGAAGCGTAAGACAGTAACTTAAAGGTATCCAGGTCATCAGGGCTGAGCTCGGCAGGCGGCTTCAGCTGCTGCGGGTGAAACACAAGCAGCGACTGCAGGTAGGAGAGGAAGTACTGGTAGAGGCTGTTCCTGGTCTCGTCGATCATGGCCACGCGCCGGGCCAGTCTCTGCACGGCGTGGAAGCGCACGCCTTGGCGGAGGCGGCGGCCCTGGCGGCCCGCCACGGCGCTCGCCAGCGGCTCCGTGGGACTGTCCCCGGACGCCGTTTTCATGCAGTACTTGAGGGCTTCCACCGACAGCCACAGCTGGTGGGCCTTCCTCGCCTCCTCCTCTGCAATGGCGTGGCCTGCACAGCAAGACAAGAAGGCAACTGTCAGTTGGAGGCATAGATTTAAGTGAGGTGCTAAGCACTGAAGCATTTGAACATGAGCAGCAAAAATAAACTCCTTCCCCAGAGTTTGTTTGCAACAGCAGCACCCTTAGCAGCTCTGCTCAAAGCAAGTCTGAGCCATAATTTACACTATCACACAGAATGGGTGAGGTTGGAAGGGATCTCTAGAGACCATCTAGTCCAGCCCCCCGTGCTCCAGCAGGGACACCTAGAACATGTGGCACAGGGTGGCATCCAGGTGGGTTTGGAAGATCTCCAGAGAAGGAGACTCCACAACCTCTCTGAGCAGCCTGTTCCAGGGCTCTGTCACTCTCCCTGTAAAGTAGTTCTTTGTCACAGTTGCTATTAGATACTCCCTGCTCGTAAGAGGAGCAGTGGGACAGCTCTGGACTTCTCCCATGGGCTGCAGCCGCCTGACCCTGGGCTGAGGCTGCCTGGGTGGGTGAAAGGCTGGAGGGAGGGGCTGTGCCTCAAGGCCCTGCTGAGGGCAGGGTCAGCGCTCACTCTCCACTGCTTGCTCGATGCCCTTCAGCCTGGCGTAGGCAGTGTTGATATCCAGGGTGAAGTTGTCCAGTTGTTCCTGAGTGAGGCGGCGGAATTGCATTTCTTGTTCGCTGAGTTTTTCTGATAAATTCTGAAACACAGTGGTGAAACAGTAATGTCTATTTAACTCTATTATCCTACAAGTTGCACATAAAGAAGCCCTGTTACGGTGAATTAACAATCATTGTTTTTTATACTTATGAAAAACTCACCACCCAAAGCCAAAGCCTTTAGGGGAAGGCAGGATAAACTCCCCCATTAAGCACTGCACTTCACCCCTTCCCAAGGAAGGGGTTTCCTTCCCTGCCTACACATCCATGTTCCGGAGCCTCATGGCCCGTGAGCTGCACATTCTGCAGGGATCCTGCAGAGGCATCTCCCACTGCCTCCTTCCTTTCAGCACCTTCCTACCTGCTCAAATTCCACCTTCAGTTCCTGCTCCTGGATCTTCAGGACGTCTCTCAGGTGGTCTGTGTGCGCGGCCGCCTGGCGCCGCAGCTGGGTCCTCATCTCGCTCTCCATCACCTCTCGGACCTCCTCGATCTGTACCCAAGGAAGCAGTTACTGCAGCCCTCTCTCAGCTGCTTGCCAAGAAACTAAGATCCTGTTACCCAGCAGTGGCTGCTTAGGGCATGTGGTAGAGAGCCTATGTTCAGAGAGCCTAAGTTTCATCTTAAAATGCTACAAAGCTCCATGTTAAAGCTGCCACTTTTTTAAAATAAGATGGTAATTTC